CATACTGTAAAAGTTAACAATAATCGAATAAAAGAACAGCGACCAAGAGGTCACCTTAAAACCAAAAAAAAAAAAAACTAATATTTATTGTTTTTGGTTTCGATTAATATTTTTTTTTAAAAAAAAAGATTAAAAAAACTAGCTCTATTTCAGTGTAAAGCTGGTTTAGAGCTTCAATTTAAAAAAAAGATAGCATATTAACTAATTAATTATAATGATAATCATATTAATGTGGGGTTTGATTTATGATTTTTACTAAAATGCACCTATAGTGTTTTACACCTATGTATATATTATCTCAGAAACTGGCTAATTAATTAGTGTGAGGTGCCTTAAGTAAAAATGTTCTATGCCCTAAAAACTCTTCCCAAATCCTAATCTAAAAGTTAACCCTAACGTGAGAAAATCTGTATTAAACATTTTATATACAAAACTTATAAAAACTTAGAAAAATCTAACGAGCATAATAAAAACATATATTAGGTGCAAAACCACCATAGGTGTATTTTATAATAAATACGATTAATAAAATAATTAGACTTTTACTAAAACGCAGCTATGGTGTTTTACATCTATGTATATATTATCTCAAAAACTGGCTAATTAATCGATGTAAGGTGCCTTAAGTAAAAATGTTCTATGCCCCTAAAAACGCTTCCGAAACACTAACCTTAACCATAAAAGTTAATCCTAACGTGAGAAAATCTGTGGTAAAAATTTTATATACATAACTTATAAAAACCTAACGAACAGAATAAAAAATATAATAGGTGCAAAACCACCATAAGTGTGTTTTATAATAAATGATATAATTATATTAGGTTATACAAGCTTAATAAATTGGTTTCTATAATTGAGTCAGGATTTTGTTTACGGAATTTTGAGCGTCAGGATTTTAACTATAAATTGCTAAAATAAATCGGTTTTTCCTATAATAAGGCAATAAATTCACTTTACATTGGTCAAAAACAAAAAAAGAATCAAAGATAAAAAATAATCCAAAATTAAACACAAGAATTCTTATAAACCAAATTTTCGTTAACTTATAAAAAAATATAATAACAATGATCCGAAATGTTGTCTTGTTATTCGTTTTTTTGGCCGCATTTTCTATGGCCAATGCTTTTCCGTATCAACTAATTAAAAGGCTGACATTTGAGAGGTGTTTTGGTGCTCCAGATGCTCCAATAATCAACAATATAACACTTATACCTAATCCTCCTGTATCTAATTCCACGCTTGAGGCTAAAGGTTCAGCTACGACCAACGCTGATATGGTTGATGGTGCTTTATTAGTTTTCCAAATCGCGAATAATAATGGATCTGTATTTTACACCCAAGAATATGATATTTGCGGCAAACTTACAACTAAGTTCCAACTAAAGAGTTTGATTTTGAAGTTGGATATGACTTAACAAATATAACTTTGCCTTCATCGTACTTTATTGTATACGGAATTACAAAAAAGGACAATATGTCTGATACTTTAGCTTGTGCCAATATTACAATCAACTAGTTTTTTTTATAATTTAATCTCTCTATTTTTTTTATTTTTTCTTTATTTTATTTTATTTTATTTTATTATATTTTATATTTTATTTTTTTTTTAACTTAAAATTTATAATCATACACGTAGTGTTAGGGTGTTCAAAGTACTAGTAAATCAAATCATAGTCGGGGTACATATTTAAGGATTTTTTACTGGGTTTTTAAAT